AACCTGGCGCGATTGAGAGTATTCGTTAAGTGCATCGGAATTTCTAATGGCAGCATTATTGGGAAACATTGCGGTCTTGAAATATAAAGAAAGTCTTGAAAATTTGTTTTAATGTGCTATCTTTTTAGCTGTATGAAGCTTACAAAGCTGCACAATATTTGTTTCTTTTTATTATATTGTTACTGTCGATTATCCATTATTGCTCATCAAGAATACGTCATAATCGAATGAGAACATAAATTAGAAATAAATATAAGTATGAAATAAATTACACGTTTTCGTCATTGTTATTATATCAGTGTTATTCTGAACCACGCAAACATTACTCAGCGACTCTACTAACTTTGGAATATTGGATTCGTGCTTGCCATATCCAAAGAATTATATAGGACGCAGGAAAAACAACTCCATTAGTGTAACTGAATTTTCTGTTATTTAGAGACCAGATGAAAAACTCGGCTGTAGGAACAGAAAAGTTCCCGTAGGAGGTTTCCATTCAGCCAATTGCTCTTAGTTATCTCAACCGCGTTTTAATGCAGCTGAATGTTCATAGGAATGTTTCTTTGCAAACAGTAACGGAGATATTATTTCTCGTCAACGAATTTTTCGTCTCTGGTTCCCATTCGGTTACCCTAACTGAAATTTCTGTTTCACGTATACGTCCCAGGAGCAATGGCCATGAGGATTTTTGGACATTCTCCTTTTCAGTCACCGTCTGTCATGTTTAAGAAAGTCTAAGAAATTTTCTAGGACAATCTATTTTTTTATTTGAAAAATATTGTATGTATTGGTAAAACTAAATGTGTTATTAGTATACCCCCACCGAATACATATTTACTATTTCTTAGATATCTTTTCTCTCACTATTCAACCAGGGTGCGTTGTTTAATTCATTAAAACCAAATTTCACGTTGACACAACCAAATCTTTTTCCCCGTGTTAAGAAACAAGTCTATCATGCGAATGTATTATGAAACTTCCCCTCCTCGGACAGATAGAAACTAGATCGCGCTAATTAGGCGCGCCAGACGACGAAAGTCGCCGTCGTCATCCGTTGACACCGTTAATAAGCGCGATCTCGCACAGACCATTAAAGAGTGAGGTATCGCAAGAGATACGGAAGCAACGGGAGAGAAGGAGAGCGCGCGACGTGGGTGAAGAAAGCGGAAGGCCGTCGGGAAGGAGGAAGTACGAAGTTTCGACGCGCGCGTCTCGATGTTCCTAAATCACAATGTTCCGCAGTTTGTACACTCGCTCGCTTCGCGAGGCTCGATCGGTCCGACCGAGGAACCTCAGGTTCAAAGGTTATCTCATGTCATGGGAATATTCGAGGAGGCATACGTGTGTCGGTATCGAGTTTCACGTGTGCGCCCGTGTGTACACGTGTGTGATGCACGACTCCGCGCGACATTGCCCCCATAGACTGATGTATGTAAATTTCCCAACAACCCAAAACACTATAAAATCGATTTGGGTGGGTCAAATCTAGGGGGGAGAGGGAATACACATTGTGAGTCCGTTTTTTGCCGAACGCTGACGATACGCGCGAGTGTGCGTGATAACACGAGAAATTAATTAATCGATTCCCGGTAGATTTTCAGGCGCACGCGTCATTTTACGGCGGTGTATCGTATTTTTTGTTTCCTCTAAAAGGAACTTTGAAAATGGCTCTGTTCTAATTATATCGATCCGGGACTAGGGTAACACAATACTTTCTTAAAGTATATATGTGAATCGTTACTGATTTCAGTTATAAGTATGCTATTGAGCACTTTCTGTGCTATATTTATAAAATCAGTGTCTATTCACTGTATTCAATAATATTTCACTGATTTACTTTAAGAGAGTAGAATCACTGGACACTGAGATGAGACAGAAAGAATCGTGTATTTTCTCTAGACTATTACGTTCGTTATACAACGTCCATTCTCAATGACGTATACGAGAGGACAGTCCTTAAGCCCGTGTCATACTACGGATTAGAGATAGAGGATTGTGGATTGGAACTTGACCAATTGGAGCCAAGCAGGCCAAGACCAAAGTGCATTGATTCGTCGAAATTTAATCTTTAGTCCGCAATCCTCAATATGCAATCCATAGTGTGACACGGACTTAAGTTGGTCACACACATTTTTCGTAACAGTAAGACGTAACGTAAGAATTGACCAATCATGTAGAGAATCGTCGAATCGTAAGGTCGCCATTTTTTTGAATACTCGATCGCAATTGGTCAATTCTTACGTTACGTCTTACGGTTACTGTTACGAAAAATGTGTGTGGCCTTAAAAGCTTTAAAAGAACTCGTCTTAAAACAAAAGGCTACGTCCAACGCGGCGCTTCTTGCTAGCGCCCTCTCGCTAGACTCCCAGCGCGACTCTACTAACATACAAAAGTGTGCGAAACATAAAGAGAGACTTTCTACAGGCTCATAAGTCTCCTGATTTTATAAGCTACTTTTAGAGATGTTTTCAGTGAAAAGAGAGAGTTCAGAATATGGGCCTAAATATATGAAATCACGAAACTCAACAATGTCGAGTCCCTGATGATTGATCGGATTACACTCATATTTTTACCACACAGAATGACGAAATAGAAACATAAAAATATACAAAAAGAATTGCAACACAAAATTTGTACTATCGTATACTTAATGTAAATGTAATAATTAATTCAATATACTATATTTGCTCTTCATAAATGTAAAGCTCTTCATAATTGTAGAATTTTCGTCATTGATTATCTCACGTCGTGATAATCATTTATCTGCAGACGCTTAGATCACTTCTCTGTTTTCCTTTTTTCGCATGGCGATATATCGTCGCGGATTTTCTTGTTGTTATCTTCTTGTCGAGGTTTATCTCGATTCAGCGCTGATCTCTTTTCTCGAAATTGTCATACATCAGTGAACTGTGTGTGGTATTTCTCGGATAGCTGGGAGAACAAAACACTATAAAATCGATTTGGGTGGGTCAAATCTAGGGGGAGGGGAAATACATATTGTGAGTCCGCTTTTTGCCGAACGCTGACGATACGCGCGAGTGTGCGTGATAACACGAGAAATTAATTAATCGATTCCCGGTAGATTTTCAGGCGCTCGCGTCATTTTACGGCTTAATTGCGGTGTATCGTATGCGGATACACGCAATTACAGCTTCGTTTATAACGAAGCAATTTCTGGATGCGCCGGGTTGAACGCGGCGTGTTATTTTTGCGAGCGCGCCCGCCTGCCCGCGCGAATTTCTGCGCGCACGCGAGAAATTAATTAATCAGTTTTCGGTGAATTCCCATTCACGGTCGCGCTCGCTATTATTTCACACGGCGCGACTCGTGCAGCAGATACACGTACTCATTCCCGCGATCATTATTACACAGTACTCTCTTCTGCGAATCCGACAAAAGCGCCGATTGAACGCTGCGGCATCCCGATTGCGTAACGCTCGGTCGTTTGGCTTCCAATTCAAGATGGTCAAATGTTAGTCACTTCGATTTATATTTAAAATAACAGTTAAAAGAAAACAATGTAATCCGTATTGGGGGAAGGATTACTGGAACTTCCTATTGGTACATCTCATCGACTTTTTATTATTATTGAATATGAACGATATCTAAGTAGAAAATAAGTGAGAGAGAGAGAGAGAGAGAGCCATGAAAAATATAAATAAAAGATTTTCAAACTGCACTTTAATAACCTGTATTTTAATTGACTGTATTTTAATAAATATTTAAAGATATCAAGTACGGTTAATGAGTTACGATTTAGGAATCGGTACGATTCCTCTCTCTTACTTAATTTTCTTTTTGCAAAAAGAAAAGAGTAAAAACGGTATTCGTAAACGAATTTTATATTTAAGACTGTCTTAAATTTATCTTCAGATACTGATTGAGTCTGATACTAAGTCTTTCTCAGTCTTTTTTAGTCTTTCTCGGCTTTTTTCAGTCTTTGAACGGCCTAAGAATTAAAGCAGATTACATGTAAAAAAAAACTTTAAGGCTCTTGGGGAGTCGCATCATCCATCTTTTTTTAATGACGTTAGAAGCGAGAAAACACATGCTAAAAATTCTTGCAAAATACGTCGAGATAAACAGATATATTCACAAAACGACATTTGCGATCGATTAAATACCTCTAAAATACTTCGTACACTTTATTTTTATTCTAAAAATTAATAGATAATCGGAAAATTAATATGACAAAACAATGGGGAAATTAGGTTAAAAAAGACGATTGCACGTCACATTTATTTTATAATTATCTGTTGATTATTAGAACAAAAGAAAAGTGTACGGAGTATTTTAGAGGTGTACTTAATCGATCGTAAATGTCGTTTTGTGGATATATCTGTTTATTTCGACGTACTTTACAGGAATTTTTAGCAAGCGTTTTCTCGCTTCTGACGTCATTAAAAAGAGATGATGCGACTCCCCAGGAGCCTTAATTAAGAGAGTCAAACATGACTCCACATTGGTAATAACCGATTATACTGTTAATTCAAGTATTTTATGTCGACTAAATCTCCTTTTACATGTTTCGTACTGTGTTAAGTCATGTCATTTAACACTGTAATTAAATTAATTGTGTAATTAAACGTATTAAATTATAATTTACACATCTCAAACGCATTAAATGAGGCGACTTGAGACAAGAAACGCGTGTAAAAGAAAAGCCAAATTGCACGCTTGTGCATTTAGAAAATAACATATTTGGATTTGCAGTGTAACTGCACTGGCAATCTAGGGTTAAAAGCACGAGCGACGACATCAGGGACCGGTCACGCCGGAAACCCGGGAAAGTAGATCTCGACTGGGTCGTTAATCCTCCGAATCTCGCGACTGTAACATATTTCAGTGAGTTTTGAGAGTCGCACAGCGACGCGTTTCACATAGTTAACGCGGCCCCCTTGATATCCCTCGCGACCTCGAATTTGCCCCACTTTCGACAACCAGGCATGTTTAAAGCGACGAGCATTTTTCAACGAGACCATTCTCCGCTTCTGTTTCAGGATTCATAAACTGCAACGCCAACACACTGCAATCGCTCGCACAGCTACACGGTGAGTGAAAACTAGTTGTTAATTCCTCCCTGTTTCCCTGCCTTATGACTCCCTCGCCGTACACATCCCGTTACGTTACGTTTACGGCCGGCCGGGAGATCACACCGTGAGGGTGAGGTGAGGGCGGAGGGAGGATGGAGGAGAAAGAGGAGGAGCAGGCCGCGCAGCGGATTCAATTAAAATTTATAGTTACGTAATAGCCGTATACGCGCGGGAGGTATGCGCCTTCCTGGCGAGCAATCGGGGAAACGCAGCCCTCCTCCGCAACGTTCACTTCCTCTTTCTTCGTCATAATCACCGGAGAAGGACTGGGAGGCCGCAACCTGTACTTTGCTCCCGTCCCGGCAAAAGTCCTGTTTTTGATTTAACGCGATCGCCACCGCTGTCGTAAATTTCACGACTCGCGAGCGCGAGTGAAGGGTTAGCCGCGTAACGAATGCTGGTTTCTTACTCGCGAGTCGATCCAGCAAGTTCAACGGCGGCTTCGCATCCGAGGAACGTGCGGATCCGCGCTTGTAAATCGATTGGAGTATATCGGCCCATAAATCGTTATGTAAAACTAACCCGACCGCTTCTCTGCCTGTTCTCGCGCGCACTCCTGCGATCACGAAAACGCCGAGGTTCGTTCTCGCTCCTACACTCGCTCTCGATCATTTTCCGCGTGCCGAGTCCCGTTCTAAAAATACAGCATCGTTATATTTTAATAACGTTGTTTATGTACTCGAGCAACGTTCGTAGCGAGGAGTGAAATTACCGTGTCGAAGATACCAGCACGATGCCCATTCCTCGGCTGTCGCATCGAGCAATCTTGACTAATCTCACAAAAAATGCAAAGCAACGATTACTTCGATTTTACGCCGCGGTATCGCGTCGACGTGTCCCGCTAACAGAGGGGACAGAGAGGAAGAAGGGGGGACGCAGAACGCCAACAAGAAATGTAATCTCATCTTTAGCGGAATCCTACATACGGCCTTAAGAGAATTCTTCTAAAACTAAAAGGAAAATTATTAGAATTATTAATAAACAGGAAACAAATTTTCTTTTAGAAACATACACTGAGAAAAAAATATCCAAAAATTAACAAATTATTTATTAAATAGGTACCATTAACATATTTTATTAAATAAATTTTTATTAAATAAAAAATTAAATAAAAATTCTTTTCATTTAAACCGAATATTGTTTACTTAAAACAAATAATAAATATTTGATTTAAATAAATATGTTAATGGTATCTATTTAATAAATATTTGTTAATTTTTGGAAACTTTTTTCTCAGTGTAATATAGAGATTATTACACTCGATTGCAAGAGAAATTAATATAAAGATAATAAATTTAGATAGTATATAAAATATATCCCATCAGAAGGTAAATTAATTCTAAGTGTGTTATGAGATATATCGAAAAAATGAAAATTATTCTAAGCACAATATTATTGTTTTGTATTAGGAGACGGAAGAATATTCTTTCGTTTTCGTTTAGAATGAAGGATCGTGCGGGAAAGAGCATCTCACAATTAGAGTTCTTTTTCTGGGCGTTGAAATATTTTCTTGTCGGTTGTAGAGGAGTCTCCTCTTGAGGTCGGCGCAGAGAAAAGAGGATTCCGCCAAGGATGAGATTCTATTTTCTTGGGTGAACGAGAGAATTTGTTCTTTCTCCGACGAATTGTATCGCCTACGGGAGAAAAGGAGGGTCGATAAATACACCGGCCGCTTTAATTAAATCCCGCAACGTGCGGCGCGCTCGCGCTTGTGTCGCCGCTCGTGTCGTCGATCTTCGGCCCTCGTGGCACCGTGTGCCTCGATCGTAAAGATGTTCCGCTGCAATTTCTCCTCCGTGTTCGTCATTAACGCCACAAAGGCCTACCGGGAAAGCGGCGCTGCTGCGCGAGTGCGAGAAGGACGGATTTATTTTCGTAACCCTCTCGCGAATCCAAAAGTAGCCGTCGCGCTTCTCTCCGCCGCGTTCGTGTCGAGGCGTTTCGAGTTTCATTCTACTGAATGTCCTCAAATATTAGTCTCTCTCCCCCTTCTCTCCTTGCCTCTCTTTCTCTCTCTCTCTCTCTCCCTCTCTTGCATAAATTCATGCGAAATCTCGCGGACACGAACGGAGGAGAAAGATCATAACGCGACATGTGTGTATTCTTTTATTGGTGAAGTTCGAAGTTTTTATGTCCGCCTCATAAGAGATTCAGCCTTATCGATTTGGAACTATTGACGAGCCGCAAGCGGCACACGCGTGAGCGAATTTCCGCAATAAAGACTCTTCGGTAATACCTATAAAGACTCCTGCGTCACGGAATATACGCGGGATCGTAAAATGCGTTCGACGGGAGAGTGATCCCTCCAAAAGTAAACACCTGGGAGTTTTATATCGATACATTTCGACGAGATGGTAGAAGAACTTTTATCTTTCTCGACGTTGTGTGCTTTACGCATCTGTGCTTCCGTTGCGAAACGGTGTCGGTGTGTCGGTACCTTCGGCTTTTAGTCGACAAAGTCTCAGGATTCGTCCCGCAGGTCCTTCTTTTCCCGACTCTTACAGACGCGCGTCTTACTCTCTTAAAGTGAAACGGTAAAAATGTGTCTGATTGAATGAGCCAAGAAAAATTTCTTTTTACACGTTTCTTACCGTTTTAAGTCGCGTCATCAATACATGTACAATTTAAACGTGTCAAGTAATGTAATTCGAAACCGCAAAAAACACGGGAAAAGAGCTTCAGCCAAATCACAAGCTTATGCGCTTAAAAATATCACGCTTGGACTTGCAGTGCAGTAAAGTCTAGCTGAACGAATTAGTTAATGGTAGCGACTGTTACCGTTATTGATGCAATTTGCAGACGGTGCGTCGTCGCGCGTAAATTGCACGGCAGCCACAGCAAATTCCGTCGCCACGAACGCAGAAACTTGAATTTCGTGCCATAAGTATAGCATTTCAGTGCGAGAGTACGCTGACTGTATTCTAGAGAGTACACGTCGTACACGTCGAAAAATCCGTCGCGATTAGTAGCCGTCGGTGCTTTGCATTAGCGAAGACTCACTTAGCACGCGAGAATGTTAATATCCGTTTTACAGCTCATTACCGGTGCATCAACGCGCATATCCGGGAAATCTTGTCTCCTAAGGTCGAAATTAATTATCGTTTGCGTCGAATGGACACCGCTTGTCGCCAACAACGTAAAGCGGAGAAAACAGGCAGGCGCACACACACGCACACGCACAGTATCTCGGTCGGAGACTTTTCACCCGGCATGGGACGGGCTAATTAACTCCTCGATGCACTTCGTGCGCCGAAATGACCCCGCATTTGCACACACGCACGCGCGTCACGTATAATTTGCTCAACGGGCATACGATTTTACCGCTATCCGAGGCTGGATAACCAGATGAGAGGCGCTGTACCACGTCCTCCACGTCGGCTAGATCGCTGCGGACAGCGTCGATTAGAAATATGTTTGGTCGTCGCGTTAAATTACAGCTAGGCGGATAGTGCAAGGTGCAAGCGAGAAGTCGAGTTCGCGAGTTCGCTTTCGGCGCGGATTCGGTTTCACGCTCCGGCTATTCGCTCCTACTCCGCGCCGTCCATCGCGCGATCATCCGCGATCCACCTGCGCGCACGTCGTAACGTAGCTCTCTCGAGGACGAGTTGGAAACTGAATCTGATAACAGCGTCGTGTCGGAGAGCACTCCGGTTCAGAACAAGCTCTACACCGGTATATATCAGCGGATTTCAAAGAACTGTTCGAGAAGAGCGTCTATCCTCGCGGAGGAGAGATCGAGAAGTTCGCGCCTGAGATATCAGTGTTGTTAACATCACGCTGCACACAATTTACCCTTATATGCATTTATCTCTGTGTACACGCTCTTCTCAGATCGATCGATCGTTCGGGATTATCGGAACGAGTGCGTGTTCCTCCAATTCTCTCATGGGTGCGCGTATTATCACCTCCTCGTCCTTCTATCTCGTCCCACCTTGTCCCGCAAACAAGACCTCCGACCGTCACAACTACGTGTCACTCTTATCTTAATTCCCCGCCGACGTTAATACACGTGGATAAGTGTCTACGTGTGCGCACGTGTCTGCTACGCGAACGCTGCCGTGTACAGACGTATCCGTGCGCTACAGCGCGTAACGTGCTCATTATACGTGCAAGAGAGAAAGAGATGGAGCAAGAGAGAGAGAGAGAAAGAGAGAGAGGGAGGGGAAGAGGGATCACGTACTATGTACCGCGCGCATACATAATACAGTTACGGACGCGTGCACGTTAAGTCAGGCCGCTGATACCTGTATAAACCGACCGCATTATCATATATATTGATCCATCCTAGAAAACGCGCCCGCACAATTCGCCCTGCTCGTCGGACGGAGTCCCGACCGCTTTTTCGACGACCCCGAGCGTCCTTCGCCCGACCCTCCTTCCCGGTTACGCTCCTCGGATCCTTTTTTTTTTCTTTTCTTTATTTTGGTCACGCTATATGAATCGCCGTCCCGTCGCTTTCCTGCGTCGTGTCCTTTATCCCGCTCGTCGACGACGTCGCGTAACAGACACGCACACCTGGCGTTACGTCCTGTTTTTGAGATGGAGAAGACGTCATACTGTCGGGATCGGCCACCGAGATTACCGGTACGATTTGTGGATACCGTACGCGCGCGACAATGGTCGCGCTCATTCTTCGTGAATGAACGAATGAGGACGTCAAGTACTCGATGAGGTCGTTTCTCGCGCCCACGTGAAAAAGTTTCTCATCCGTGATCGAACTCGCTGAAATTATAATGACGCAGTTTCGATCCAAGTCGCAAGTACGGTAAATGTTAACGATGCTTGTGCAGTACGCCGGGAAGAAAATACTTGGAAATTTATTTGCGGAATATAAGGTCTATTTCACAGAAATAAACTTTATTTCACAAAAATTAATTTTACTTCGCGGAAATTAACTTTCATCTCGTTAACTTTTATCTCACAGATAAATTTTCAAATATTTCTTCTCAGTGTACGAA